CCCACCCTCCTAAATCTGCATTTCCCATAGCTAATGCGCCTAACCTACACATCCCTGATCACTATCAGTAATTTAACATGGCCAATCCACCCAACTTGCACATCTTTGGACTATGGGAGGAAACCCGTGCAGAGAACGAGCAAACTCCACACAGACAGTTGACCGAGGCCAGAATCGAACCCAGGTCCCTGGCGCTGGGAAGCAGACTGCTTACCACTGAGCCACCTGTTATTATACATTCTGCTCATTCCTTCCTCCATCAGTTGTGGATAGTCAGCAATCTGCCTCAGTTGCACTGCTCCTAATGTCAATAGTAACAATCCTTGAGTTCTGTTATCAGGCAAGAGTCATTTATGACACAGAAAGGGGTGATTTGGCCCATTGAGTCCATGCCTTACCCCTGCAGAGTAATCCAATACTGCTCAACCCTCAAGTTTATTTTCAAATCATTGATTATTTCCATTTCCATCATTCTTGTAGAGTTCCAGGTCATTACCTCTCACTGCATAAAAGCTTTCTTCCTCTTGTCCTTCTGCCTGAAATTTCCTTGTACCATCAGCTAATGGGAAGAATTTTTCCTAATCTGTTTTATTTAAATAAATCTGTCATAATCTTGCATATGTCATTCAGATCTCACCCCCACCCCTGGAATCTCTTTGCCCTTGCCTTCCCTCACTTAATCCAAACCATTTCTGTTGTTTTTGTCCCCCCACCTGTAATGTATTCTAAACCTTGCCCAAGATTGATGGTAACTTGACTGGCCTGTAGTTACCAAGACTTGTTGAAGTAAGGTTGTCACATATGTTACTCCCCAGTTCTCTTGTTCCTCTCCCAAATCTAGCGAAGATCGGGAGAGTTAGGTTCCGGTATCTCCACACCTACTTTGTTTAGCAAATTTGAATGCAAGTCATGCAGACTAGGCAACTTAGTTTTAAAAAAATCGAAAGAACTGCGAATGCTGTAAATCAGGAACAAAAACAAAGTTGCTGGAAAAGCTCAGCAGGCCTGGCAGCATCTGTGAAGGATAAAACAGAGTTAACATTTCAGGTCCAGTGATCCTTCCTCAGAATTTATTTATTCCATTACCACTTGCTTTTCAATTTTCACTCTATCCGTTGTCTCCATCATCTCCACATCCACGGATATTTTGACAGATTTCTTTCCCACAGTAAAAAACAAGACAAAGAATTCATTAAGTATTCTAGCCTTGCTCTACTCTCGTAAGCATAGATCACTGTTGTATCACCCTTACTAAGCACTTGCTATTTACATGCTGATAGAAGATTTTTGTGTTACTCATCTATTGAGTGCCATTGTATTCTCGTATGCTGTCTCTTTGCCAGTATTATTTTCCTCTTCTCCCCTTTAACCTATTGTATTTGACCTGGTTCACAATTGAAGTATTCACCTCACATGAATCAAATGCCTTCTTTTTTTCATGTTTCATTGTAATCTCTATTTACCTCATTATACCTGGAGCTATTTTTGCTTCCTTTCCTTTTTGCTGTTGCCGAAATATACCCAGCCTATACCTGAGACATAACTTCCAGATAGATGACCAATTGTTGTATTGCAATATTTCCCGTCAGTCTTTGTTTCTGTTTCACCCTAGCTAGTTCTATTGTTCTTACATCGAAATTGGTCCTGTTGTGATTAAAATTCTATAATAGATTGCTTCTATATTATTAGCCAAATACTTCTGCTGCACTGATTACTCTACCCAAATGTCCCCCAGTCCCCCATAGACACTCAACCCATTTCATTTCCCAGCAGCAGAAACAATAGTGCCTCCTTTTTAGGGGGTTTGGGCACATGTGGAACAGGAAATTCTCCTGAACAAATTTGAGAAAGTCCTATTCCTCCTCAACCTCTATCATCATCTCATTAATATTTGGATAATTACCAGTATCACTGCTCTATAGTTCTTGCACCGCTCTGTGATTTCCCCTGCAGAATTGTTCCTTTATCCCTCTCTTTCTCACTCACTATTTGGGAGCCAAAGTAAGTAGTGAGATCTTTTTTTTTCCTATTCTAACCAAATGGATTTTGCCATTGTCCCTGAAAGATTTCCCTTCTTTCCAACACTGCAAAACTTGCCACCCCTGCTCCCTTTTTCACTCTGTATCTTTTCTGAATTCTTCACATTCTTGTACATTAAGTGCCCATATTGAATTATGTTTCAGTTATTGACACTATATCATATTCCCACATTGATGAGCTGCAGGCACAAGCAACAATGTGTTTACACATATTGATGGAAGCTTGTCTTTGCACTGTACGGAGTCCTTGTTATCTGCTCCTATTTAATATTATTATCCAGCACTCTTATTTTATGCACCTCATTATACCTTTTCACTTCTATATTCTGGCACCCACCTTCCTCTCAAATTACCTCAATTCAAGCCCTCCCCATGCAGTTTCAAGTTCTCCCTATTGGTAACAGGTGCCTTCTGTCTAAAAATGGTCCCAATGCTCCAAGAATTTGAAGCCCTCCTTTCTGCACATGCTTGAACCTCACATTGAACCTCCCTATCTTCCTATCTCCACTCTGGTCAGCACTTGGCAACGGGAGTAATCCAGAAATTACTAGCGTCAATGTTCTACTTTTTAAATCTTACCTTAGAACCTCACTATGTGTCCTTTCTATATCATTGATACCAATGTGCATCACAAATCCTAGCTAACTCCTTCTCCTAACATAATATTCTGCAATCTCACCTTTACCCTGGCATGAAGAGGGCAACGTGCCAACAACAATTACAGAAATGCCATTTGTCCCACCAACAATCAAATCTATAGCAATAGCATTTCTACATATTGTGTTCCCTTCTGTGCGTTCTTTTTCCTGTTGGTGTCATGGTGTAGATTGCATACCTTCAGGGTTTTGTCACTCCCATTAGTCTCCAATGTTGACTATCTGTCTGGGAATTTCACAAACCCCAAAGGTTCCTGTGCTGCCTCTCAATTTCTAATCTTCAGGATGACCACATACACGCTGACCTGACCTTTCACCCATTGACATTCAATAGCATTATCATTGTTGAATCCCTCACTTTAAACATCCTGGAATTAACATTTACCATAAAACTGAACTGATCCAGCCGTATAAATACTATAACTACACAACAGGGTCAGAGGATGGGAATCCAGCAACAGGTAACTCACCCACTGACTCCTGAAAGCTTGTCCACTAGTTATAAGGCACAAGTCAGGAATTTGATTAAATATTCCCTACTTAGACAAATAAGTACAACTCCAACAATACTTGAAGCCTGATCCAGAACGAAGCAACCCACTTAATTGGCATCCCATCCAGCACCTTCAACGTTCACTCCCTCCACCACTGACAAGCAGTGGCAAGACCATGTACAAACTTCAGGATGCACTGCGGCAATGCAGCAAGGCACCTTCAACAACAATGTCCACTACCATCTAGAAAGACAAGGACGCATGCGGACACCACCAACTGCAAGTTCCTCTCCAAGTCACACACCATCCCTGCACCCAAGCACTGCAATGGTTCAAGAAGGTAGCCCACCACCACCTACTGTGGGAAAATTGAGAGTGGGTAATAACCAGGGATGGCAGATTCCATGAGCAAATTTAAAAGAAAATCTTCCTGGAACACATAATCATCCTCCTCACACTGCTCCCGTCTTGTGCTCCTCCCGTCCTGTCCTGTCTCACGCCACTCCCTACCACTCACTCTGTTATTTGTTTGCCGGTCTTGGACTTAAAGAATTTACATTGACTTCTGGACACTTTGATGAGACTGGTTTGACAATTTGGAAAAGTGAAGGAACCAGGTGTGGCACCCAAAATGTCATGTATTTTCTGGAAAATTATCTAATTTTTGTTACATCATTTGATCCGATCCCCAGTTTAATGTTCATCCTTCATTTTTCTTTACCCTCAGAAAATGACAGTTTCCACAATAAGTTGGACCCTAATGTTGTAATTTGCGCTTGTTGGCATTATTGTGCAAAGAAATAATTTGCACTTATTGAAGGGGCTTAACATTAAACTATCTGAACGCAAAATGAAAAAAGAGAGAATGAATGGACACTGAGCAAAGGATTTTGAGAATTGCCTCAAAATATTGGTATAAGCCTAGGTTCCGAGAAGACTAAGACTTGAAGGGGAACAATGAGAGAAAAATGAGTGAGCAGAAATTTGAAGAAAAGAGGGCCAAGATGTTTGGAGATTTTGCCACTTTTGGTGAAGCTAACAATGGGATGATGTTATATAGGAAAAGGCACAAAACAGGAGAATTTTGCTGAAGATAAACTGGGGCAATGTCATGGATTGGTTTGTAGATGTGGAGGAAACCTTTAAATTTGATACTTTTGAGGCCAGGGATCCACTGTAGGTCATTGCAGTGTTGGACATGCAGATCTTTGCATCTGACAGGATATGGGAACATTGGATAGGACTTTGAGGTTGATTTGGCCTGATAAGACCAGTAAAGAAGATAGAGTCAGCAGAAGGGGACCATTCTTTCCCTACACTGGGCAAACTTTCGTCTTTCAGTTGGAGGACATTCTGGTGCAAACAGTTTATGTCAATTTGGTGGTGCAGCAATTGTTAGAAAGAACAATGAAAACAGAGCTGGATATTATTTGCTTATTTATGGAACTTGCCTCGTGCTTACAGAAAAATGCCTAATACAGGTCATAAAATAACAACTCATTGTATACTTAGCTATATTCAACATGTACTTATCTGTTGACACTCTTCATTACCTGGAATTGTCTTGTCATTATCTCTCTGTCTATGTATTCTGTGCCTGTGCGTCTATCTCCTCTTCACCTGAAGGAGCAGCACTCCAAAAGCTTGATATTTTAAATAAACCTGTTGGACCATAAGCTGGGGTTGTGTGACTTCTGACTTTGTCCACCCCGGTCTAACACCAACTCCACATCAGATATTCAGCATGTGCAGTGAACTTTTTTTTGAGTTTCTACATGTTGGTCATCTCTTTTGTGTTTCTATATTTGCAGATGTGCAGAAATTGCCAAGCATTTTTGAAGTGGTTTTTTACAATGAGACTGATGACCGTCCAGGGATGATGATGTGGAGGTACCCAGAGCCACGTGTCCTCACTCTTGTTAGAATTAATCCGGTGCCTTTCAACACAACTGAAGATCCAGACATCAGCACAGCAGATCTTGGCGATGTCTTACAGGTCTGTTGGAAATGTTTTAATTTATAGTCCTGAAAAACTGACAGTTGTCAGAAATGTTATCTCTTGGTTTTTTATTGTGGATTTTTAGCTTCTGCCATATTTTGCTTGCATTTCATACTATTTGTTTCTCACTGCAAAGTAAATTTTCTTAACCGATCTCATCACACAATTTTTAGTCCTTCAGTAAGAAGCACAAATCAAGATAAGGTCTGACTATCTTAGAGTCATAGAATCATTGACATGTACAGCACGGAAATGACCCATTGGACCAACTCGTTCATGCCAACCAGATATCCTAAATTAATCTAGTCCCATTTGCCAGCATTTGGCCCATATCCCTGTAAACTCTTCCTATTCATATGCCCATCCAGATGCCTTTTAAATTTTGTAATTGTACCAACCTCCTCCACTTCTATTGACATACACGCACCTCCCTCTGCATGAAAAAGTTGGCCATTAGGTCCCTTTTAAATCTTTCCCCTCTCACCTTAAACTATGCCTTCTCGTTTTGGACTCCCCTACCCTGGAGAAAAATCTTCTATAATGTCACCCCTCATCCTCCGACGCTCCAGGCAAAATAGTCCCAGCCGATTCAACCTCCCCTTTAGCTCCAATCTAACCTTGGCAACATCCTTGTAAATCTTTTCTGAATGCTTTCAGATTTCACAGCATCTTTCCTATAGCAGGGAGACCAGAACTGAATGCAATATTCCAAAAGTGGCCTAACCAATGTTCTGTACAGCTGCAACATGACCTCCCAACTTCTATACTCAATGCACTGACCAGTAAAGGCAAGCATACTAAACTTCTTCACTACTGTGTCAACCTGTGACTCCGCTTTCAAGGAACTATGAACCTGCACCCCAAGGTCTCTTTGTTCGCCAACACTCCCCAGGACCTTGCAACTAAGTGTATAAGCCCTGCCCTGATTTGCCCTACCAAAACGCAGCACCTCATATTTATCTAAATTAAATGCTATCTGCCATTCCTCAGGCCATTTGCTCATCTGATCAAGGTCTCATTGTACACGGAGGTAACTTTCTTCACGTTTTACAAAGTCCACTGTTGCTTGTGACACCACAAAATCTGATCTGCACTTTTGCTTGTTGTTCATTGGTTTGCGTGACTTCTGTCAGTAGTGACTTGGTTCGTTGTCCACTCGCCTCGTGTTTCAAGCTTCAGGGTTCAATCCTATTCTATTGCTTGAGTACAAAAATCAAGACTCCAGTGCAGTACCAAGGGAGCACTTTGCTGTCAGAGATGCTGTCTTTCGGATGAGATGTTAAACCAAGACTCCTCCTGCTTTCCTGGACAGATGAGAAAGATCCATGGTACTACTTCTGCACATATGCATTTATATACATAAATGATCTGGAGGAAGGTATAGATGTTCTGATTAGCAAGTTTGCAGATGACACTAAGATTGGTGGAATAGCAGATAGTGAAGGAGACTGTTGGAGAATGCAGCAGAATATAGATAGATTGGAGAGTTGGGCGGAGAAGTGGCAGATGGAGTTCAATCCAGGCAAATGCGAGGTGATGCATTTTGGAAGATCCAATTCAAGAGCGAACTACACGGTAAATGGAAAAGCCCTGGGGAAAATTGATGCACAGAGAGATCTGGGTGTTCAGGTCCATTGTACCCTGAAGGTGGCCACGCAGTTCGATAGAGTGGTCAAGAAGGCATACGGCATGCTTTCGTTCATCAGACGGGCTATTGAGTACAAGAGTTGGCAGGTCATGTTACAGTTGTATAGGACTTTGGTTCGACCACATTTGGAATACTGCATGCAGTTCTGGTCGCCACATTACCAGAAAGATGTGGATACTTTGGAGGGGGTGCAGAGGAGGTTCACCAGGATGTTGCCTGGTATGGAGGGCGCTATCTATGAAGAGAGGTTGAGTAGGTTAGGATTATTTACATTAGAAAGACGGAGGTTGAGGGGGGACCTGATTGAGGTCTACAAAATCATGAGAGGCATAGACAGGGTGGATAGCAAGAAGATTTTTCCCAGATTGGGGGCCTCAATTACTAGGGGTCACGATTTCAAGGTGAGAGGGGAAAAATTTAAGGGAGATATGCGTGGAAAGTTCTTTACGCAGAGGGTGGTGGGTGCCTGGAACGCGTTGCCAGCGGAGGTGGTAGAGGTGGGCACAATAGCGTCATTTAAGATGCATCTAGACAGATACATGAATGGGCAGGGAGCAGAGGGATACAGATCCTTGGAAAATAGGCGACAGGTTTAGATAGAGGATCTGGATCGGTGCAGGCTTGGAGGGCCAAAGGGCCTGTTCCTGTGCTGTACTTTTCTTTGTTCTTTGTTCTATTCCAAAGAAGGCTGGGAGAGTTGTTGCCAATGTCCAAGCTAATATTTATCCCTCAATTAAATCCTTGCAAAAATCTCTGACTAGCATTGCTGTTTGTGGGAGTTTGCTGTGAGTAGATTTGGTGTTATGCTTTTGACACTGCTACAGTGACTGGACTTCAAAACGTACTTCATTAGTTGTGAGGTGCTTAGAAATGTCTGCTAATTGTGCACATTACTGTATAAAAGCAGTGTTTCTCCCTGCTTTATTTGCAAAATTAGAAGTATCTTTATAACTATTTACCATTTAATTTATTTTTCCTAAGGATGAGAAGATAAATGAAGGGGGAATGTTGATCAATTTGGTCCAGAATTTCTGCCATTCATTCTCAAGAAAAGATTTTTTTCTTAATGAGACTGATGGATTAAAGCCTGCTGTAAAACTTAAATAGTTCTGAAAGTTAGTGTTGCTTTTTGTTTAAAAGCAGACTTTTTTCATGTTTCCTCAGAAATTTAGCGCAAATTTCCCAGGGCTCTAAAATTACCATTTCCCAATACCAAAGGGAAAATAAATGTTAAGTTGAGTGCAGTGTTTATACACGCCTGGCTTTCCGGACAGGAAGACAATTTTGATGCAGTGCAGTATTCCACAATACTTGTGGGGCAACACAGGTGAAAATATTGCAGCTGTGTCTTCTTAACAAAAGTCAATACTACAACGCTGGGCAAGGTTCTTCCTGTGGAGCACTATTTGCTTCTTTCCCAAGAGTGGATTGCATTTACATTTTTAAAATCATGAGTTCCTGCACCTCGGCCATGTGGTTTCTTGTCCATTCTGAAAACTTGGTATTTGCGTCTAGTTAAATAATTCAACCCAGAATGAGGACCGACTGGATGGAGGTTTCCACTGCACTTTTCTGAAACAAACCTATTCTTGCAAGCAGAAATAATGGCTTGGTCTCTTAACCTCACTTCTGTGAAACCACTTAGCCAAAGTGTGCTACAGGTTGAAAGAAGAAGGAAGTATTTGCATGGCTTATTTGGGAAAGCTGAAGGAGGGTTTTGCATTAAAAGAGTTGGCACAGAAACAATGGGATGAATGGCTGCCTCCTCTGATTTGTGATTCTGTGACATTGCTTTCCAGTCCTAAATTTTCTTTTAATTTAGATCTCAAATTTTCCATATTGCTTAAGAGAAAATAAGAGTGAGAAACATTTTGAGATGCTCTTAAAATTAAGACTATAAAATCCAACAAAGAGTCTGTTGGTGGAGAGCTAGTTGATGACATGATTCTGTGGTCATGAAATGGCAATTTTTACAAACAAATGCATGTCCCGTTAAAACGGGAAAAAGTGCAGTTGTGAAAATCTAGGAGCTGAAGAACTCAAGCTATAGTTAGTTCATCTTGTTTTAGAGAGAAAGAGATTGAAGAAATGAGCTGAGGTACCCTCGATGGCCGGTAGAATGCAATTGAGAATAACAACACCTTACATTTACTTAGCACCTTTAAAGTAATAGAAGAATGTTAAGAAACAGCATCTGACACCAGTCACATGACTGGTGATATTAGGACAGACTTCAGCAAATAGTTGTTTTTCAAAACGTCTTAAAAGAGGAAGCGAGATGGAACAGAAAGGAGTTCTTTGAGTAAAGAAATTCTGGAGCTTGGAGCTTGATGTGGGAGGGTAGGGGATGGGAGGCTGATCAGGAGGCCAGACAGCCAGCCAAGCCTAGAGATAACAAAAGTATGGATGAGGGATTCAGCAACAAGATGATCTGAGGCAGGGACAGAGCTCTGGACAATGTTACAGAGTAAATAGAAACTTTTGGTGAGATTGGGGATATGTGATTGAGAGCTCAGCTTAGATGCACTTGCAGTTCAGTCACTGAGGCCATCATTTCAGAGGAATTTCTGTGCAGTATTTAGGTTGTTTATAGGATCTGTTTTAAACATCAGCTATGGTTCACACTCATCTTAGATCAAAAGTTTGTGGGAGCAAGTCCCACTCCGAAGATTGAGCATAAAACTCTAAGTTGATATTCAATTGCCCGACTGAGAGACTGCTGCACTATATAATAGAAACATGGATATTAGGAGCAGGAATAGACTGTTCAGCCCATCAAGCCTGCATTGCCATTCATGGCTGATACTCCATTGCACTGTCCCTTCATACCAATTGCCTGTGGAAATCTGTTTTTTTCTTAGGAAATGTTCTTTGATTTGGCCTGTACATCTATCGGTGACAGATCATTCCATAGGTTAATCACTCTTTAAATGAAGAAATTTCTCCTCGGCTCATTCAAAACTTGCCGACCATGTAACTTGAGACCATGACTCCTTTTTCTGGACCTCCAAGACCAGAGCAAACACCATCTCTCCAAACAGTCTGTCCAGCCTGTCAGAATTTTATTTGTTTCAATGAGACACCCTCTCATTTTACTCAATTCCAGTGAGTACAGGCCCAGTGGATCCAATTTCTCCTTAAAAGGCCATCCCAGACCTCTTTTTCAAATGAGGTCCTATCCTTCCTCTAAAATCTGCAACTCTATTTTAAAGGAGTGCAGGTTAGTTCTTCATGGTGCCCTGGGAACTGTTTATTCCTTAATCTACAGTACAAAACCTGATTACCAGCTCATTATATATTGGAACAATGACTACACTTCAGCAGTATTGGCTACAAAGTATTTTAGGATGTCCTGAGGTTGTAAAGCTGCTATGCAATTCAAATTTTTATTTTGATGGCATAGTGTAATTATGCTTGGTATCTATTGGGACACTTTTTAACTTGAATATAGTAGTTTTGAAAAATGGACGGCTTTATTGATATACAAACATTTTGTCATGAAACTGGAGGAGCTTTATTTTGTTGCATGTAGCCTGTGCAACTTTTTAAATCAATCTGTTAGCTCATAGTTGGCTGTCAGCTCTGGAGAAATAACGGTCTCCATGGTCTGACTATTTTCTCGTGTTTACAGATCAAATACTGCTGTGTTGAATCAGACACTAATATTGGAATCATAAATCTGCTCCACTGTCAGGACTAGTTTTACTGCTGTAATGTTAAGCCCGTGACACTAAAATCTACCTTCAAAATACAATTCTATATAAATCTTAAATGTTTGCGGAGTTGTTATAACTTTGGGAATTGGCAGAAAACTCAATGATATTGGATCAACTACCCATTTTATACGCAGTGAACAGGAGTATCGGTCAGGAATATAATGTGAGGGGTGCATTCTGAGAGGGGACTGTATGAGTGGGCTACAAAATGGATGCAGAGTACAATAGACAGAATTATATTGGTGGTATGGGGTTGGGAGGGTTGTAATAAGCAGGTATTAAATAGCAGGTGGAGTGTATAACAGATGAAGTGTATAGTGGGAGCAGTATGTGGAGATTGGCATTTGTAACAGGCGGGTGTACTGGCAGGAATGTGGGTAATGGGCAGGGGTGGGTAATTGGTTGGGTGTGTAACAGACAAGGTGCTAAATGTGTAACCAATCAGGTTTTGCATATTTTACGTCATTAAAAATATCCTCTTCTTTTTCTGCTGGCTCTTGCATCATTTTGTCTTTTTATCTTGCTAACACAACCTAATTTGTTTGTCCTAATTGCAAAAGACTCAATTTCTCTCTTTGTTTGGCAGTCCCTTCAAATGAGGATGACACTCTCTCATGGCAAGAACCAGCACTTGGATTATTTTAGCATTGGGAGGCAATTGCTTTGCTGCTACCAACACAGATCTGGCTGACCAAAAAAAAAAATCTCATTCTTTATCACCTCTCATGGACACCTTGGAATGATTTGCCAATTAATACTCAACTTCTTTGTCAATTATGACACATCTTCCGTGATTGAATAACCCACGTTAGAGAGCTGGTGGCCAATTAGAAGCCAGCAGTACTCCAGTACTTGGGGCTTGGAGGATGTTTGTGTTCTGTAATAGGACTGGGAGGTTAACAGGGTTTTAGAGGCCATAGGCAAGGTGAATTTGGGAGAGTAAGATAGGACCAATGTGTCCGTTAAGGAGGGACCTCCCTCCTTCCCTCCCTGTCATTAGCCTGTGCAGGAATATGTGCCAGACTGGGCATTTGTTCTGGTCTTCTGCTGTCACTAGTTAAACCCTAGTACTGGTAGGATGAGATCATTAATTAGCTATTAATTGCTGGATTTAACATGCTTCCTGTCTTAGCAGGGATGGCATTACATTTGGTCCACAGAATTTCTACCAGAAAATAAGCCCTTCGTCTATATGTCAGTATTCATGCTGTAGATGAGTTTCCTCACTCCTGTTTTATTTCACCCTCACAATATACGATTCTAATTCTTTCTTCATTACTTACTTATTCAAATTCCTCTCATATGCTGCTATCATCTAAGCAATACTTCCTGTAATCTAACTTTTACATTTAAATTCTTCCTACTTATTTCCTTAAGAGTCTTGACTTCTGTTTTAAAAGTGGAAAGCTCTTTGAGTGGCGAGAACAAGCTTTTTAAAGTTCTTTTCAGTCTATAGCACAAGGTCAGAATCCTGTGTGTGTGTGTGTGTGTGTGAGAGAGAGAGATAATCCCATATGTTATTACTGGACAGATCATTATTCAGATCACATACTGAAATCCACTTGATAGATTTTTTAAAAAAATTTTGATTTTACGGGTGTAGTTTTTCAATGAAAAGCAAACATGCAATGATTTAGGTTCAGGTTTAACAATAAAAAAAAGTTTATTACATAAATAAAATGAAGATAAAAATTAATAAATCAAATAATTGCACATAACACAAATTTAAAGATTTCAAAACACATGGTATACAATCCTATTAATCCCCAAAACACTCCTTTAAAGCACTCATGCCAGAGAGAATTTAAATCTCTTTCACATTTAAATGACTTAATTTATCTATATTTTCAATTCCCAGCCTTCAGAATCTTCACACCTCTTCCTGGAGACTTCTTAGACTTTCTCAGCTTCGAAAAAGTCCCTTCGGGTTTTAACCAAATACTTCTGATTGAAAACTTTTAAACTAAACTCCTTACACTGATGCAACTTCTGTCTTAACAGTTCTAAACTGTCTCTTTTTCTCAGGAGCAACTGTTTTACATATCCAGCTGCAGCCAAGACTTTGGTAAACAGCCCAAACTGAAAACCAAAAAACCTTTTTTCTCCCCAAACAAGGGTGTTCTCTTAACCAAAAGAAAAAAATCCATCCCTAACATTCTAAACTGTAAACTCCCAAATGTTGGCAAAGTCCAAATAGCCTCTCTGAATGTGTCTCTCTTGGACTGGTTTTAAAAATAAGTCACTGTGACTGCAGAAATAGCTACAAGTTCATCATTACACACTTTCAGATACACAGAAAACTCAAATGCCACTAATTCATGATTCAAAAATACACAATAAGTGATATTAAAAATGTATAAATCAGGGACAGTCTTATGAGAAAAGGTTGACTAAGTTGGGCCTGTACTGATTGGAATTTAGAAGATTGGGAGGAAACTTTATTGAAATATAGAAGATTTCTAGGCACTTAAGAACATAGATGTTGAAAGGTTGTTTCCCCTTGTGGGAGAGTCTAGAACCAGAGGCCATAATCTCAGAGAAAGGGATTGCCCAATTAAGACACAGACGAGGAGGAATTTCTTCTTCCAGAGGATAGTGAATCTGTGGAATTCTTTACCACAGAGGGCAGTCAAGGCTGGATAGTTAAATATATTTCAAGACTGAGATAGATTTTTTTTTATCAGTTAAAGAATCAAGGGTAATGGGGAAGAGGCAGGAAAGTGAAATAGAAAGTTATCAGGTTAACCATGATCTCATTGAATGGTGGAGCAGACATGGGCTGAATGGCTGGTTTCTGCTCATACATCTTTTGATTTTATCACAGTAGTCACTAGTCACCATTGACTAGTCTTTAAAGCCTGCCCAGCTTTTATCAGGTAAGTGTAATGGTCAACTCATCTACTGGCTGTAAGGGTGTCTGACACACAAACACCAGATCTGATTGCAACCCAGTGGAGGCTCATTTTGTAATGACTAATTCTTGCATGATTGATTTTAAACAGGTGCCTTGCAGCCTGCAGTATTGGGATGAGCTTCAACAAGTATTTGTGGATTATCGCGAATTTAGCCTGTCCGAGAGCAAGGCATGTGAACTGCAGCTTCCTAACGTTACTTTGACTAGTGACCAGAAGGAGCTCATAGCTTCTGACTTGTGGCGAATTGTTCTCAATAGTAACCAAGAAGTGACAGAAGAATTGAGGTGAGCCAACACTATTACGACAACTGCCTATGGAGTGGGCTGATAATGGAGTAGTGTAAGAGAGCACTGTTTTCAAGCTTTTGTACTTGAGTTGACATCCAACACCAAATTATGAATGGATCAAATCCTTGGTGTTTGAAGGTTATGAACCAAACTTCTGATGCCTGTATCTGCACTTAAATCAAGTCCCATTCGCCCATCATGATTCACGTCAACTTAGATTGGCTTCTGGTCTTACAATGTCTCACATTTAAAATTCTCAATCTTGTGTTCACATCGCTCTCTGGATTTTTCACATCCCATCCTGTAAAACCCTCTAGCCCTACAATTCACAAAGAACTCAGTAAAGCTCCTTTTTTGTTTCATTCCTGTACTGGTAACTGTATCTTTAGCAATTGTGAAGTCACTGAGCTCCATCCTAACATCTGTATTACAATGCTAGGTGTAAGATATTGTCTGTGAATGATTCTGTGAAGCATCTTGAGATTTTTGCTTTGGTGGAGCAGCTATATTCCAAGTTGTTGCGAGATTCTATCTTGAAGTGAGCTCGGGCTGCCTCAACTGTTTTTGAGTTTGTCTGCATGCAAACTCATTTGCAGTAAAACCATTTGTAACCTGGAGCTGAATTGATTATTGAGAAGACTTAGATAAAGGTCCAAGTGAATGAAGAAGCTGATGTGACACCCCCTATTTAAGAAAGGAGGGAGGAAGAAGACAGGAAACTATAAGCTGGTTAGCCTGACCTCAGTGGTTGGTAAGAGTTCAGTCATAAGGATGAGATTGGGAAATACTTGAAAATGCGTGGTAAAATAGGGCTGAGTCAGCACAGCTTCATATGTGTCATATGTGACAAATGTGTTAGAATTCTTTGAGGAGGTAACAAAAAAGGTAAACAAAGGAGAGGATCTGTTTGTATTTCCAGAAAGCCTTTGACAAGATGCCACACAGGCAGCTGCTCAATAAGATAAAAGACCATGGTGTTGGTACTGGCATGGATATAGGATTAGCTGGCAGGCCGAAGGCAGAGAGTGTAAATAAAGGGGCCTTTTTTAGAATGGCAGCCGGCGATGAGTGAAGTTCCACAGGGGTCAATGTTGGGACCACAACCGTTCACGTTACACATTAATGAGCTGGACGAAGGAACTGAGGGCATTGAAGCTAAGTTTGCAGATGACACAAAGATAGGTGGATGGACAAATAGCATTGAGGAGGCGGGCAGGCTGCAGAAGGACTTGGACAGGCTAGGAGAGTGGGCAAAGAAGTGGCAGATGGAATACAATGTGGGAAAGTGTGAGGCTGTGCGCTTTGGTAGGAAGCATAGATGCAGATTCAATTGGCAGTTAAGATAGCAAATGCAATGGTGGCATTTGTTTCAAGAGGGCTGCAATACAAGAGCAGAGATGTATTGCTGAGGCTATGTTGTGAGCAGTTTTGGGCCCCATATCAGGGAAAATATGCTGATATCGGAGGACATTCAGTGGAGTATTACAAGAATGGTTCCAGGAATGAAGGACTTGTCATATGAGGAGTGGTTGAGGATTCTGGGTCTGCACTCAATGGAGCTTAGAAGGATGAGGTGGATCTCAGTGAAACTTACAGAATACTGAGAGGCTTGGATAGAGTGGACATGGAGAAGATATTTCAACTAGTAGGTGAAACGAGGACCAGGGGGCACAGCCTCAGAGTGAAGGGACGACCCTTTAGAACTGAGATGATGAGGAATTTCTTCAGCCAGAGTGTGGTTGATCTGTAGAACTCATTGTTGCAGAAGGCTATGGAGGCCAAGTCATTGAGTGGTTTTAAGACAGAGATAGATAGATTCTCCATTGGTAAGGGGATCAAGGGTTATGGGGAGAAGGCAGGAGAATCGGAGTGAGAAATATATCAGCCATGATTAAATGGTGGAGCTGACTTGCTGTGCCAAATGTCCTAATTCTGCTTCTATATCAAATGATCTAATGGAAGATAACCTATTAAGTGATCTAACTTGTGAATAATGACAAATTGTTTTATGATTATGTTGTAGTTTGGAGGAAAGCTTCCCTCAATATCTAAAACTTTGCACTTGACTATTAATGTACCTGACCCTGAAAACGCTTCTTCCTATTGCTTAGGCTAAAAGAAAGTACAGAAAGGCTTTATTCCCCAGCACCACTACCTCATACCTTGATGACTTCACAAAACACTAGCTTTCCTTGTTTCAGCATCATACAGTGCAGAAGGAGACCTTTTGCCAGTTGAGTCTGTTCTTCATTTTAATCAATCTGTCTAAATTATTTCTTTTTAATTTATTCATGGGACGTAAGTGTTATAGGCTGGGCCAGCATTTATTGCCCATCCTTAATTGCCTGGTGAAGGTGGTTGTGAGCTGCCTTCTTGAATTGTTGCAATCCTCGGGTGAGGGGCATCCACAGTGCTGTTTGGAAGGGAGATCCAATATTTCACCCAGGAACAGTGTAGGTGGTGGTGTTCCTACTCCTTGTGCTTCTAGGTTGTCAAGTTCTCGGGTTTATGAGATATTGTCTAAGGAGCCTGGTGAGTTGCTGCAGTGCATCTTGTACTTGGTGCATACAGCTGCTACTGGTGGTGTTGGGATGAATAATAGCTCAGGCTCCATTCCAGCTGCCAGTCTAAGTTTAAAATTTTCAATATTTGGACTTCCTGAATATTGTTAGAACAGCACTCATCCAGGCACATAGAGAATGTTTCATCACACTCATGACTTGTGCCTTGTAGATGATGGTTAAGTGTTGAGGAGCCAGAAGGTGAGTTACTCACCACAAATTCTCAGCCTCTGACTTGCTCACATAGCCACAGTAATTATGTGGCTGTTCCAGTTCAGTATCTGATCAATAGTAGCCCCCTGGATGTTGCTATAGGGGTATTCACTGATGTTAATGAATGTCAAGGAGTGATTTTTTGGAGATGGTCACTGCCTGGCACTTTATGTGACATGAATGTAATTTAACACATCAGCTCAAGTGTGAATACTGTCCAGGTCTTGCTGCATTTGGACACCGGCTGCTTTGGTATTTCAAGAGTAGCAAATAGTGCTGAATGTTGTGTAATAATCAAGAAAATTCAGACTTCTGATCTTATGATGGAGGGAAAACCATTGATGAAGCAGCTGAAGGTGGAAGAGTCCAGGACACTACCAAGAGGAAGCCTGCGGAGATGTCCTAGAGTTGAGGTGATTGACCACTAACAACCACAACCAGCTTCCTTTAGGCTTGATGTGACCACAACCAGCAGAGAGTTCTCCAATTCCCATTAATTCCAGTTTTACTCGGCTTCCAGGATACCAATTGGCCTTGAAGCCAATTAGTCCTAAATTCGATATTGTTTCGCCATAGTTCTGCAAACCTATTCAATGACACATACAGAAATTAGATTGAATTTCCAAATCTAACAGTTTAAAATTGTTATGTAAAAGTATAAAATGTGATAATTTGGCGTGAGTTAGCATAAATCCTCAAAGTACGTTTATATCAGATGAACAAAAACAGTGAATTGGCTAATGATTGAAGTTTCCACAATATTACAGGTACTTTCTTCTCCCTATAAGAAGTCAAATCTCTAAGACTTCAGAGAAATTTTTCTGTTGCTCGCCCTATGTGAGCTTAATATAGTGTGAGACAGGCCACAGAAGCTGCGATCATGTTGCAGGTTGTGTAAATTCAGCTGGTGCATTGGTCTTGGCTGTAGGGCATTTTACAAATGTTGCTACATAAACAAGAGCATGATCCCCGAGTTGAAACTCCGTTGTGCTGTGCTCCACAGACTTTAGCATAAACATTTTGCCAAAAGAAAGGGAGACATCTGTAAAGGGATTAGAAACCTACTCCCTAATACACTTCTTAAACCATCACGTACCCAATGCTGTGCAGAATGAGTATTTACGGTGTAGATGCAGGCAAGGCAAAATGGGCATTAAGCCTTTGGAAAAGGGTGCAGAGGAAGCTCTCTGGAACAGTGCCAAGGGTGTGGGCTTTCAATTATTTGAAAAAACTGAAGAAACTGCTGTTGTTCCTCTTAGAACAATGAAAGTTAAAGGGACTTGTGTAAAGGAGTTCAAAGCCATGAACAATTTTATAGGATAAGCAAAAATAAACTGATTGGTTACTTACTACTTTGTCACTAGAGGATAAAGCTTTTAACTAGTTATCAAAAGAACCAGCAGTGTGAAAAAGGGATTTTATTTTTAAAATGAGTGAGTTGCTGTGATCTGCAATTGGTGGCCTGTGAGGGAGTTGAAAGTAACGGGAAATTGAAGAGGCAATTAAAGGGAAAAAAATCATTTCTGGACTCTGGGGAAGGAGCAGGGGGAGTGGGACTAATGACCTGGTGGGACACAATGGGCTTAATGACCTCTTTGTGTGCTGTGTGTATGCATAAAGCAGATTCTGGTGAACATCTCATAAGTCTATACCAGACTGTGTTTCAGAAAGAAATCTAATGTCCAGCATAGCCCCCCACACCCAACCACCACCACTCCCATAAAGTGTGTGAAAATGGGAGACTCAACTGGTTAACATGGCTTGGGTCCAAGAAGTTACTCCTCTTTACGTAGCATTGTCAACATCCCAATGGATAATATAGACTAAAGGAAAGAACTAATCTTGAAAATTGCATTCCATATAATCGCAGCAGTTACTCAACACAAACTCAAACCATTCCACTTCATCTAGAGATGAAGAAAATCTGTAATCCCCACTTTTCCCTGGGGCCATCTCTCTCCACTTCATCTGTAGCCTGTAAAGTATTATTACTGAACCAGCTGATTGTGTGAAGGATAAAGATGTCATTTCATTTTTGTTAGAAGAGGCCAGACAGATAAAACTGTTGAACATTTTATGTTTTTATTACTTGTGATCGTTTAGATTGAGTGGGTTTTCCTTTTTCAGTGAAAATTAGAACACTTTCACAGTTATAACCAGAAGCATAACATGGTAACATATGGCTGTTGTTGGCTTAGAGTTTTCCGGAGCAGAGCATTCTGGAACTCCCTTCCTAACAGCGCACTGGGTGTACTGACATCACGCACAGACTTTGCAGTTTCAACACCACCTTCTCAGGGATAGTTAGAAGTGGGCAGTAAATGCTGGCATTCACAGCGATGCCTGTATTTAATGGAGAAATAAAGAAAATATGTCAAGGTTTGCCCTTTGGTGTTAACCTTGTACCTTCAAGTGTTTTTTACATTTTAAGTTGCTGGAGATGTGAGATAACAACAGTGCAATGAAAGCAGTGGAGCAACTGGGAGTTTGGCGATCAACAATCCATCTCCTTAATAGATGGAATTTAAGGATAGGCAAAGGAAGGAAATAAAATTACAAATAGAACTAGAGGATTAGAGAACTAGAATCAAATCAAGTACAGGAAGAAAAATAATGAGAGGGAAAGTAAGATTGGATAAAAACAGAGAAGGATAAATTAAAAATGTAAAAACTCATTTACTGTCAATCAGAACAATTTACTACCTGTTGGAAAGAAACTACACAGTTTTGGTTGTTCTGTGTTTGAGCCAGCAGGTTTTTGTTAATTAACAAGCAAATGCAGCAATTTCTTGAAACTCACAGGGAGATTGAGGATGAAGAGTTGTTCTTTTGCGGTTAACGTTGGAGCCACACAAGTCATTCAGTGATTTGCGATGTGACAATTTGTAGTTCACGGGATTTCTCTTCCTTGCTACAAGTTACTGGATAATGTATGTATTATTAACAGTGAATACTGGTAAACTCCTCACTGTTACTGTGGCAGCAAATTCTGGCCAATTGAAAAATGGGCTTTTGGAATGATGCTGTGTTAATTTCTGCTTTATGCATAACAAGTCCATTTTCAGAATTAGAAAATATTTTATCTGTTTTAAATTAAGAAGGATGACTTGGCAAAGATAACTTCTGCTTAAGAGATCAGGAATGTGTTTTGAAAGAATGTAGTAACTTAGACATATTGAATTTCCCTGTATGTTCAACTGTTGCTAAGTGACCCCTTTGTTAGATTACAATACTTAGATCTATTGATACAATGGAAACTTTTAACATCTGTACAGAACAAGCAAACTTCTGGATGTATGTTGTCCTTCTGTTACAAATAGTTAAATGGGGCCATGCATTGTCACTCTGCCCTACTTTGCCCTTGATTTATTGTCCTTTTTGAATGCAGTTCTTTAAGTATTGATGTTCGTACGCTCTATAAGTCATGTTTCTCATACTTCATGTACCTTTGCAACCTGTGACTGGACCCCAGTGTTGAATGTTTGAATGATCAGTGAATGTAACAGGGTGCTTCCAGGTCAGGATTGGAATTTTATTAACTTGATTTCCTCGCCAACAAGCACTCAAGTAACTTTAGATTGCACACCACTTTCAGCTGTTTGAAACCATGTTTTTGAAAAGCAACCAAAACCCAAATCAACATTTGAAGGGAAGTTTTGGCCAACTTTTATATTAATAAAGTCCAGAGAATAAATACAATTGCATGAAGTCATCCACAAAAGCTTTTTTTCAAATAAAAATTCTTCGTAAATCCAGTACTTTGAAAAGATATATATACTTATGCAGTTTGGGGCTTGATCCAAGTGCCATAATGATCATAAGATAGACAAAAGTGCAAAATACTATTCAGGCTGTTAACAATTCAACAGCCTGGAACAAACACCAGCTACACACATCATAGCTCTCAGTGAATTATTAACTGAGCCTAAACATTCATTCTCCATGTTGACCACTTTGTATAGACTCTTGGCTTCTGTCTTCAGTTTGCCTTTCTTTCATTTATGCTTGTGCTCTTAATCTAGGTCTAATTATATGTTTTTGCGAGCTTACCTTTTTACTGAACACATTATTGATAAAAGCAAGTGTTACACCTCAAACTTTAAATATGGCACCCATCCATGAAGGCATAATCTAAAACTTAGGGCCAGAGCTTTCAGGAGAGATGTTAGGAAGCAGTTTGATACATTTATATATTGCACCCCCATTATAGAACTTCATAGAATCCCTACAGTGTGGAAACAGGCCCTTCAGCCCAACAAGTCCACACCGACCCTCAGAGTATCCCACCCAGACCGATCCCCCTGTATCTCATCTAATCTACATATTCCTGAACACTGCGGGCAATTTAGCATGGCCAATCCACCTAGCCTGCACATCTTTGGACATTGGGAGGAAACCGGAGCACCCGGAGGAAACCCACGCAGACACTGGGAGAATGTGAAGACTCCACACAGACAGTCACCCGAGGGTGGAATCGAACCCGGGTCCCTGGCGCTGTGAGGCAGCAGTGCTAACCACTGAGCCACTATGCTGCTGCGAACTATCTTGTATTGAAGATATACGGAACTCTGTTCAACAAATGGCAGTGGATGTTAGAGTAGTTAATTTAAATCTGAGATAGATAAATTTTTGTTAAGCAAAGATATTCAGGGTTATGGGACAAAGGCAGGTATATGAAGTTTAACCCTGATCAACCATGATCTCATTAAATAGCAGAACAGGCTTGAGGGGCTGAATGGCCTACTCCCGTTCCTTTGAAACCCCCACCACCATCCATTTCTATTTTTGTGGTTGAACATCTACATTTTCCTTGTCTTTCTTTCCTTCTACCTCAAAAACGATTCTTGCGGTTCTTCTCTACATCTTTGTCACAACATTACTGCCTATGTGGCTAGAACTGGATGCAATAACTGAAATAAAAAAACCAAATGTTCAGAACACTTAGCAAATCAGGTACCGTCTGTTGTGAGAGAATAGCAGAGTTAATGTTTCATGTCTTGACCTTTCATTGGCAAAATCAACCTGAAATTCTGTTGTTCTCTGCTACAAATGCTGCCTCACCTCCTGAGGGTCCCACTATCTTTTATTTCAAATTTTCAACATCTGTAGAACCTGACTTTTTAAAATCAAAATAGCAATACTTAGTGACCAATTGGTATAAATGGACCCACAATTTCATAGGGGAGGGAGTTCTGGGATTTTGATCTAGTTATATCTAAAGGAATGGCAATACAATTCCAAGTTAGAATAATGTCTGGTTTGGAAAGGAACTTGCAAGTATGGTGTTCCTCTGCCTTGTCCTTCTCATTAGCAGTAGTGAGTTTGCAAAGTGTTGTCTAAGGTACCTTGGTAAAATTCTGCAGTACATCTTATAGATGATACTTACAGCTGCCTCTGTATGTTGATGGTGGGGATAGTGAATGTGGATACAGTGCCAATCAAGTGGGCTGCTTTGTCCTGGATGGTATCAGGCTTCTTGAGTGTTGTTAGAGCTGCATGCATCCAGCAAGTGTGATTATTCTATCACACTCATGACTTGTGCCTTGTAGATGATGGACCGGCTTTGGGAGTCAGGAGGTGGGTTACTCGCTGCAGTATTCTTGGCTTGTGGCTTGCTCTTGTGGCCACTTTGTTTATCTAGCTTGTCCAATTCAGTTTTTGGTCAATGGTTAACCCCCCCAGGATGTTGATAAAGCAATATTTAGAGATGCTAATTCCACTGAACTTCAAGGGATAATGATTAAATACTCTCGGCACTTGTGTGGCATGAATGTTACTCATCACTCGTCTACCCAAACCTGGATATTTCCCAGGTCTTGCTGCATTTGGGCATGTGTTTCTTTCGTATCTGAGGAGTTGCGAATGGTGCTGAACGTAGCACAATCATTAGCAAACATCCCCACTTCTGATCTTACAGTGGAGGGAAGGTCATTCTTAGGACATTACCTGGAGGAACTCCTGCAGAGATGTCCTGGAACTGAGATGACTGAACTCCAACAACCACAGTCATCTCCCTCGGTGCCAGATATGAATCCAACTAGCCTAGACAATAAAGAATGTATTTTTGTTCTTATATTCTTTGTCAATGGCTGTGGCTTTAGGAAATTGCCAATTTTCAGATAGTCATTTGCCTGGTACTGTGAAAATCTTTTGGCATAACTTTGTTTGTTGAGAGATATCTTTAATAAAGTGATATATCTGTTAGGTTTATTTGTCAAATTTTTTAAAAAGTATTTTCTTTTCACTAATGTGTTGGCATAAATGTGACATCTATTATTTCTGTCTTGTATTCTCATCAGCAGTGATGGTGAATCTGGCTCACAAAGTGTCTGTGACCAGCTTGTGTCTCCAATGGCATTGGCAGCCTGCACCAGGGTAGATTCATGTTTTGCAGCATGGTTTGTGCCTTCTTTTGGCATCTCATTGCAGTTTGCCCAAATTGAGCTTCACCTTTGTCATCATCTGGATCAGCTCGGTAGAGGTATGTTACTGAACAAATTTGTTACTTAGACATTTTCAGTTCTAAACTAAAGCTTTGTCATTTTATTCCGAGGAAACCTGTCACCATATATTGAGAACTTTTTTTTCTGAAATGCTGAAAGAAGAGTAAAGTATGCTTTCTTGAAAACACAGTTTTGCTTTTATTCAAAAAATTAATTAAAACATGAATTGCTTTCTGTGAAATATCATGACCTGAGATCATAAGAGAGATTTTTCTCAAATATATTGCTTATTTAACTAATACAAATCAATTGATCTTGTATATAAGAGTTTGTTTTAAGTATTATATATTAAACAACCAACGTAATACAAGGTATGCCACCGTTTCACAATAATTCATATCAAAGTGTTCAGTGTGCATTTAATAAAAGGTTACATAAGAACTTGAAAAAGAAAAGAGTAGTAAGATAAGTCGATAGGGTGAGATGAAATAGGTTTATGTCAAACTTAAACTAGTTAGTCTTTTACTAGTTAGTCTGAATGGCCTGTTTCTGTGCTAAAACACTTGTTTTCATGGAAATGTGAATTTTAAATAAAGAAATTGATATTCTTCACTTGGGCTTGAAAATGCACTCTGCATGCTGAAGATGTGTGTCTGTGATCACCTCTGCTATTTTATTGGAAAGTCCCCTCTTTAATATGAGTATAATTTCATTGCCTTAGTTTGTAATAGTCATACTTCACTGATTTTCTGATTTTAGTAGTAAATACCCCTGAAAATCTGAATCTCTCAGAACCACAGAGCACAGAAGCAGGTTATTTGACCTGTACAGTTGTCAAAATGCTTGAAAATCTCAATAAATCCATTCTAAATTTTAATCCCATTCTGTTTTGAACTTTGAAATAACCATCACGTAGAATTGAATTTTAAAAAATGCCTTTGAAGGTACTAGTTTAATCCTTCCTATTCAATTTGCGAAGATCATTTCACAATTATTAACATTAAGTGGACAAAATTAGAATGGTTTTATTTTACCTTTGAGTTGTAACAGCAACTTACCTATCTGTTTAAATTTCGATTATAAATCGGTGAATAGCTTTAATGCTACTATTTTACACAATCCATCAAATTTCTAAAATTTTTGCGTGAAATATTTATTTCATACCACAGCACATCCCAGCTGTCTTCAGGCATTCATCCCTGATAGAAAGCTGCCTGCAGAGCAAGAATACATGATTGTTTCTCTGAAAAGCCCAAATGTCTACATGTGGCAATGGTCCGATGGCCCTGTCTACCGAGAGCTCCAGTTCTCTGCGATCGCCAACTGCAAGCTGCTCGAGTACCGTAACCTAACCATGACAAGCATTTTAAAACCCTTCATCTTTCATGGGCAAGTAGTCATTAGCAACAGCTGTGTGGAGCAGCTAATGGACGGAAATGTGTTTGTTGACCCAGTGTTTATCAGTGTGGGGCAACACGCAGTTCATTCACTGGACATAGCAGCTCGTGCTTGGAGACAGGTACGTTTAAGCATGTGAAATAATTTAAACCATGTCAGCTCTTTTTACAATTAACCATCGGGGACTCTGGGACAAGAGTAGACCATTGAGCCCCTCAAGCCTGCTCTGCCATTCAGTGAGACCATGGCTGATTGACTTCCCAACTCTATTTATTCATCTGTGCCCACATCATTTCGAGATCTTGGATAACGCACATCTCAGGTGTAGAATCAGCATATTTTATACTTTTCATTAAATGACAGAGGGTTATCCAAGGTCTTGTCAACAAAATAAAATTAATGCTTCAAGAGGTATCTCTATTACGATGAGCCCCAATACTCTTCATTATAAGTTTTTTAAAAAAGGAAACTCATTAGATGAAATGGTAGTCTTCTATTCCTCATTGTCGGTACCCTCGGGTTCCTCTGGAGCTCGTTAGCCCCAGAATACCTCAAATACCTTGTCAACCTCAAAATGTTGACAAGGGGAAGTCAGTTGATGTGGTGTATTTGGACATTCAGAAAGCGTTTAACAAAGTCCTGCATAAGAAATTATTGCACAAGATTAAAGTGCATGGGATTGGGGACGTGTATTGAGATGGATAGGAAACTGGTTGGAAGAGAAGAAACAAAGGGTAGGAATTGATGTGTTCTTTTCAGATTGGCAGGCAATAACTAGTGGGGTGCCACAGGGATCGGTGCAGGGACCCCAGCTATTCACAATATATATTAAGGATTTGGATGAGGGAACAAAATGTAACATCTCCAAATTTGCAGATGATACCAAGTTGGGTGGGAAGGTGAACTGTGACGAGGATGCAGAGATCCTTCAGCATGATCTCAACAGGTTGAGTGAGTGGGAAAATCAATGGCAGATGCAGTGTAATTTGGATAAATGTGAGGTTATTCACTTCAGAAGCAAAAACAAGAAGGCAGATTACTACCTGAATGGCTGTAAATTTGGAAAGGGGAGTGTGCAGCGAGACCTGGGTGTCCTTGTACACCAGTTGCTGAAGGTAAGCATGCAGGTGCAGCAGGCAGTAAAGAAGGCAAATGGTATGATGGCCTTCATTGTAAAAGGTTTTGAGTACAGGAGCAGGGATGTGGTATTGCAGTTGTACAGGGCCTTGGTGAGACCGCACCTAGAATATTGTGTACAGTTTTGGTCTCCTTTTCTGAGAAAAGACGCTCTTGCTGTCGAGGGAGTGCAGCAAAGGTTCACCAGGCTGATTCCGAGAATGGCGGGACTGACGTATGTGAAGAAATTGATTAGGTTAGGATTATTTTCACTGGAGTTCAGATGAATGAGCGGAAATCTCATAGATACTTATAAATTCTAACAGGACTGGACAGGGTAGATGCAGGGAGGATGTCCCGATGGTGGGTGTGTCCAGAACCAGGTGTCACAGTCTGAGGATTCAGGATAGACCATTTAGGACAGAAATGAGGAGACATTCCTTTACCAAAAGAGTGGTGAGCCTGTGGAATTCATTACCGCGGGGAGTAGTTGATGCCAAAACATTTAATGTATTCAAGAGGCAGCTAGATAAAGCACTTGGGGCAAATGGGATCAAAGGTTATGGGGAGAAAGCAGGATTAGGCTATTGAATTGGACGATCAGCCATGATCATGAAAAATGGCGGAGCAGACTTGAAGGGCCGAATGGCGGCATCCTGCTGCTATCTTCTATGTTTCTATGCTTTGTGATTTAGAACGTATATTCAAGTTAAGCCTGAATTAGACTCCTTCTGGAAGTCACAGTGTATAATATATAAAAGATATGAGTATGTGTTCTGATTGTCTGCAACATTGTTCATGAGTTGATATGGATTTGGCCACTTACTTCTCCCATTAATGATGGGCAGCTCTGATGTAATGGGGTAGATACGGGCCTGTCTATATCTCTATTTAAATTCATTGTTTTGTTTTGAAAGTGTACCCTTTTCCCTCACAAGAGTGGAAGACAGGTCAACATCCAAAGGTCCCAAAGAGGGCCTGTGCTCCTCTGACCATAGCTCAGTGGGTCATGTTATTCATATAGGCTTCATTTTAAGAGTCGTCCAAAGTCCAACAGATAGAACTGAATACCTAGAAGCCAGAGAGCTCAATTATAAAGTCAAGTACCAAAAGAAAAAGTTTTGTTTAATCCTCCTGTGCAACACCGTAGTTAAGTTTATATCAAAACTGTCATTCTTGTATTATGCAAATAATGTAATCACAGTAGAAGTACTCATACAATGTTCCTTTTTAAAACATTTTCTTTCATAATATATAAATATTACAAATTATTTTTGCTTCATGATACCAAGCCCTGTATTTTGATGCCAATCATTTTTCATGCACAATTCACAGGCACACAGGCAATATCTCATTGTTTTAGTCAAATTGTACCCACTGACTGGTCAGCATTGAAAATCTTAGTTCTCTAATTTTTAAAAGTAGAAAGTTGAGCTGTGATGCCAGTATTTTGTCTAAATATTTTTGCAGTCATTAAAGATTAAGCGTCAGAGACATTGCCAACTTTAACTTCTAAATCAGTATTTAGATGAGACACAAATCCTCCAGAAGGATCCAATTTTTTTTAAACAACTGTTTTATTAAGTACTATGGAGAATTTAAAATGCTGGCATTGACAGTAACCAGCTTTTGTCAGTCATCTGAAATATTAACCGGCGTATTCACGTCCTCGGGTTTTCAGGCCGTGGTATTTACCACTAGGTGGATAGCTGCTAAACATCCTTAGGGCTGATCTAATGCACACTGATGTTTTCTGTTCCAGAATGAACATCCAGAGGCAGAGGAGTTGGTCTTCAGCCACTTTGTGATATGTAATGACACTCAGGAGACACTGCGGTTTGGCCAGGTGGATACTGATGAAAATGTTCTATTGGCCAGTCAGCACAGCCATCAGTACAGCTGGCGTTCACACAAGTCCCCCCAGGTATTACAAAACGTAGCTTGCTGAATTATTCTTTGACGGCTCTTTCAGGGGACTAAACGGTAATAATAACAGCAGGTGCCTTGAAGGAGACATTAATATTGCTGTATGAGTAAAGCAAGCTTTTTATGATTTAAGTCCAGAAAATGTCAGTGATAAACCCAGTGCAACTGCCTCCAATTTATTTAAGTACTGAGTGCTGACATAGAGTATTGTGGTCCAATAATTGTGCCCTTATCTATGGGCCAGTGTATTTGGGTTCAAGTCTTACTTGTCACAGAAGTGCGTCATAATGCATCCAAGTAAGTTAATTAGCAAAGTCATTTAAAGTGCACTTTACCTTCAGCATCCCAATAACACCTGTCATATTTTCTCACACCAAAGTCAGAATCCAACAATGGCATTTTGTCACAGCTTCTGTCTGAAAATGATGAATGTTCTGCTGTCTCTCACAGCTTTTGCCTTTTAATTCTGTCATTTTTGTTGGAAGCAAATTGTGAAAGCATGTGTTCATTTCTCGTCGTACGAAGCTTCCAGTTCTGGATGGTTAAGAGAACATTAACAAGTATGAGGCAGTGATGTGTAGTTTGTTCCACAAAGGTGGAATTTCATTTCATTTTTAAATATCCTGTTTTTGACAGTTGCCTTGATGTAGAGTATACTTACTGGTAGGTGCCCTAACTGTGACTGGTGTGACACTGTGAGGATTTTCCAACCTTAGTTCTCAAATTAACTTCCCAAAAGGAACTAGAAAAACAGATGATTGGAGTTAGACCAGATACCACTACATTTAAGCAGTTTCCCACAATAACATCTCATCTGTCCATCATTTTGCCCTCACTTACCTATCCTATTGCTACCCACTTAGCTCCCCAACTTAGTCATTGACATTTTTGGCCTCTACATCGGGGAAACCAAGCGGAGACTCGGGGACCGCTTTGCAGAACACCTACGCTCGGTTCGCAATAAACAACTGCACCTCCCAGTCGCGAACCATTTCAACTCCCCCTCCCATTCCTCAGACGACATGTCCATCCTGGGCCTCCTGCAGTGCCACAACGATGCCACCCGAAGGTTGCAGGAACAGCAACTCATATTCCGCTTGGGAACCCTGCAGCCCAATGGTATCAATGTGGATTTCACAAGTTTCAAAATCTCCCCTCCCCCTACTGCATCCCAAAACCAGTCCAGCTCGTCCCTGCCTCCCTAACCTGTTCTTCCTCCCACCTATCCCCTCCTCCCACCTCAAGCCGCACCTCCATCTCCTACCGACCAACCTCATCCCGCCCCCTTGACCTGTCCGTCCTCCCTGGACTGACCTATCCCCTTCCTAACTCCCTACCTACACTCACCTTTCCTGGCCCCATCCCCGCCTCTTCGACCTGTTTGTTTCCTCTCCACCTATCCTCTCCTCTATCCCTCTTCTATCCGCCTCCCACTCTCTCCCTATTTATTTCAAAACCCCCTTCCCCTCTCCCTCTTCTGATGAAGGGTCTAGGCCCGAAACGTCAGCCTCTCTGCTCCTATGATGCTGCTTGGCCTGCTGTGTTCATCCAGCCCTGCACCTTGTTGTCTCGGATTCTCCAGCATCTGCAGTTCCTACTATC